TATGAGGGAAAGTTTTCCCTCATCCTATGTTCTCTCAGCCCTCCCTGGAGATGCCACTGTTCACAAACTTTGTGTGCTTTTTGAAATATGCTATGCACATTCCAAATTATGTGTGTAAATTTCTTTAAAGTTTTACTTATTTTTAACCTAAAGGGATTTAAATGCTCAAGTGGCTTCTGCCCTGGTAATAGAAAAGAACAAATCTGACTCCATATTACATCTGTTCCTTTGACTTTAACCCTGTGATCTGTCTCCTAGGCTTAGTCTTGCTGATTCTGCAACTTTTGTAAAACAATGTTGCCTAAAGTCTGAAATATACAGGAGAGCCTATTCTCAAGGTTCTGAGCTTTAAGGATATTAAATTATGACTGTTCAATTCATATAAAGATAGCAAGCTGCAGAATGGAAAATAACATTTGTTTCCTTGGAGATTTACAAGGATCTGACCCAGGTGGAGAGCTGCAAGAACAAAGGATTCTAACAACAAAGAACTCCTACACCAAGAAGTTTGCAACAACCAAGCATACCCCCTGAGCCTTTTTAGTATAAAAGGAGTCTGAAATCTGACTTGGGGAAGATGCTTCTCAAGGACATTAGTTTGCCATCTAGGTCTGCAGAAATTCGCTATTTCCTGCCCCAACATTTGGTTTCTGGATTTATTGGCCTGTCCTGTGGTGAGCAGAATGAGTTTGGACTCCGTAACACTCCTATCTGCCTAGCAAGCTGGGTGCTGGGATTGAGGACAGCTCTCCCACACCCAGGGGCCTACTGTGAGCCCTTGAAGGGCCCCCTAGAGCCAGGAGTTGTTTACCCAGGAGGGATGGGGACTATGCACCAACACTCAGGCAGTCTGCTCCATCTGGGGCTCTGACTTGTACCTCCCGCTCCCCACCAGCCCAACACCTAGGACAGTGCAGCTAAGGCAGAGAACGTGCCTGCCTCAGTTTCCCATCCTGTAAGAGGGGAATTTATACTTTATCCAAGGTGGTTTTGAGCGACAATGCCTGTGGGTGCTGCGTTCCCTGAGTGACGGGAAACTCAGCTCTCCGCGGGGATAGCAGGTGTGATCCCCTTATAGGTTCTGCAGGGGCCTAGGCTGAGGGGCTTGACCAGGGAGGTGAAATTTGAGCTGCAGGCCTTGAAGGGTTAGAGAGGGGCGTGGAGGTAGGACTGGCACCTCTTTTGCGGTGCCCCTGAAGGTAAAGCTTTTTTCCTCCATCTCAGCTACTCTCCTCCCCCTTCTCCCTCCAGATCCCTCCCTACTCCCTCCTCCTTCCGTCCATCTCTCTCCCTCCACTTTTCCCTTCTTCTCCCCCTCCCAACTTCTCCCTCCCTCGCTTCCCCAGCCTCTCTCATAGAGCCCAGAGCGGATCGCTGGCCCTCCTGTGCATGCGCACGGCCGGAGCGGGCTGGACCGCGGGTCCGAAGCGCCAGCTCCAAGCTGGGATCGGCCGCAGAGGCTGCTCGGTCCGCCGCCCGCCAGGCCATTGGCTCCTGCCCCGGGCCAGGTGTGGAATTGTAAGGTAGGGGGCCTCAGGGGAAGGGGATCCGCGTATCACAGCCCGCGAGGGCACGAGTCAGCGCGCATCCAGCTGAGGGCCTGGCGCCAGCCCCCTCTGCCCGCGCCGCCAGCCCCGGTGCCCTGGCCACACCTGTCTCGGGCCGGGCGCACGCCTGCGGGAACCCGGACACCCCTGTCCCCGGCCCGGCCTGCACATGCCGCCTCTCGCCCCAGCTGGGCTCCCCTCATTCCGCGGCTGGGGCCCCCTTCCCCTCTCCCTCCCGACGAGTCCTCTCCTCGGCCACAGACCCCACCCCACCCCTGGGCCGGCTGGGTCCCGGGCCGACGGGGTCTACAGACCAGAGGCGGGATGGGGGCGGGGGCTGGGACTAGCCTCCGAGCGGGGCTGCAGCCCGCGCCCCCCGCCGCTTTCCCTGCCCCGTGACCCCGAGGCTGCCCTCCTCTCCCTTTCCCGCTCCCCGAGGTCCAGCTCTGCGGTGTGGGCGCTGCTCCCCGGGCTGAGAGCCTCCGGCTGTAAAGCCCAGCTTCTGGCGGAGCCTTAGGAAAAGAGAGAGTGCATTGGTCTCCTCCCTCAGTGTTTCTGCCCTGTAAGTACCTTT